TTTTACTTGCACTTTTATCTGTTTACATGTCATTTCATATGTATTGTATAACCATACTGAATAAGATTTAAAAAGAAAATGTTGACATGTTTTGATTGTCATTAGCACACTTCTGTAATGGTATATTAATATTAGAAACACGTTTCAACTAATTCTTCGCAAGTTCTTTCTATAATATTTATGAGATAAGATCACTGAAAGACATGAAAAATACAATGAATTATGGTAATATAAAGATTCATTTCATCAGATTCTCCAAAAAAAGAAACTTTCGTACTTGGATATGAATAACAAACAGTCATTCACCTTTACTTCTGAAGTGTAGATCAAGAATGTCAAAGAATATCTTTTTTGTATAGGAAAATCAATTCAGATTTTTCCAGTTCGTTGTGTAGGTCTTGTGTTCGTGTGCACATAGTCATAACTTTATTAACTATCGAAAAGATGTAAAGATAAGAGAAGGCGGAATGAAGATGGAAGAGGAATGATAATGAATGGTGTTCTGGAAAGAAAAACAGGAAATTGGATCTGAATCTATGAAACAGTAACGAATTAACAGCAAAAGAAATGACCAGACAATATCAGATGAAGCTTCCATTTTTAGCGGATCTTTATATTTATTTTCTTGGTTTAGAAAAGAGAATCATTGTTAATATTCTGCTAATAAACCCATAATATCTGTTTTGTAAAATTGCAAAATCATAAGCTCAAATAAATCAAGCAAGTCCCATGATCTAAGGTGAGTCCAAGTAGTATTAGCTTCTGTGTTAAAATCGAATATGCTAGCCTGTCTAAATTCTGAAATTGAGAGGTAGGAAAACTTTAGGAAATGTTCAGTATTATGATAGCTTTTATTCCTTAGATCAAAACAAAAGGTAAGAATAAAGAGTAAGAATATACTAATAAATAAGATAAATAAATGTATGGAAATGACATCTTTGAAGTGAACTTTATACAGTATCTCTTTTTGTAATGATAGAAGTACGTTCATGTCCTCAGTACAATTGTATATCAAAATAATAATAAATGGAATAATAGTTATTTTAATTTGATCATTCCAGATTTATTTTTGGGAACTTTGAACAATATGCATTATTCAAAGTAAACATTAGATATAATGTTGGTCAACATTCCAATTGTGTTATACACTAACAGCGATTAATAATTGTACATGCTTCTTACTTTACGTACATATTTGTTGTATATTGCAAGCTACCAGTCAAGTCTGTATATTGTAACTAGTCTAGGCACCGACTATCACGTGCCCTAAGGTATTATGTAATCTGTCTGTACCGCGTAACCTCAGTAATAAAGAGATACCCACAAGAGCAACACGCTGTCTCTGTCTCTGTTCAATCCCAGGTATAAAATATAACATGGTGACTCCCAAACGTGATAAAGGACTTTGCTAAATAGCCTGTGAAATTATCTACAAGTGGTTATCGTGACAAATTAGTGGACAATAAAGGAATATTTAGTGAAAAAATACCTTCAAAACACGCTACTTCGTCGGACCTCCAAAACACGTGTTCCAGGACATTGCATCAGTGATCACATCAATATGCAATCTGAATCATCAGTGATTCAAGGTTTTCCTAAACCAGTGAATGCAATATAAATCCAGACTTTCTATCGAGTATTAAGGAAAAAAAAAATTGCTGTAAATCCAGTGCATCATCATCAGAACTGAAAATCATTACCACAGTACTTCTCAGTACTACCACATTTCTGTGTTTGAGCCACGGTCACTGTTCACCCGGGAAGACGCCCTGGATACACAGTCTCTGTAAGCAACTTAAGAGCTCAACTAGCCCTCAGGGGACACAGAAATAAATCCAAGATGGCCGAAGGAAGCTACCGACCCCTGTCCAAGGTTGACTGGACGTCAAGCAATGCTTACACACAGTTCAAGATGTGGCGAAAGGAAGTTGAGAGAATCATAGGAGGACCCCTAGCTGCTAAAACAGACATTGTGAAAATCAACCATATCTACATATGGGCAGGCGCCCATGCTAAAACACTCATAGAAGCTCGGAAAGCTGAAGATCCAGACATAGACGTGTCCAAACCAGATAAACTCTTGGATGCCCTCGCTGGATGTCTCACACATTCCACCCAATTCCGAGAAGCACGTGAGGCATTCTGCAACATCAAGCAACAAAGTGGAGAAAATACAACAATGTATTACTCCAGAATCATAGCATTGTACCAACAGTCAGAATTCCCAGACGGTTCAGATTTTCTCATCGTTGATAAGCTGATACATGGCTGCACAAATCCTGACCGTAAACGTAAGCTTATGGCTAAGCCAAAGGCTGTTACTGTGAAAGACTGCCTCGACCTTCTTCGTGAAGAGGAAGCTCTGACCCACACAATGCAGAAGCTGCAAGGCACCAGTGTCAATGCAGCATACTCCAAAGATCCGACCAAGCGATCACAGCGAAATGGATCTCGCAAACCACAGCCTCAACATCAGAAACCTAGCTACAAGCCTAGTTCCAAACCATCAAAAACATGTGTTTACTGCAACGGCGATCCCCACCCCAGGAGTAAGTGTCCAGCTCAAAATTCCAAATACAATTACTGTGGTAAACAGGGACACTTTGAAAAAGCCTGCATCGGAAAGTAACGTCAGAAATCCAAAAAATCAGTGCATGTCGTTGAAGCCTCAGATGATAGCGACTACAGCTACGACATGAGTTCAGTAAGCGTCTCTGCAGTTGGAACCAATAATTCAGTACAAGAAGTGTTAACAGATGTGACTTTCCATGTGCCATCCAAATCATTCAAAATGATTGGTAAAGTGGACACAGGAGCAATGGTGTCATGCATCCCCCTTGAGAAGCTGCCAAGCATCGATCTCAGGGAGGACATCCAGCCCAGCAGTGATGTTCTGAGAGGTGTCTCTGGAACCAGTCTAGAGAGCCTTGGGACTATAAGTGTCAATACAACCTGCAATGATATCACCGCTTCTTCCAATTTCTATGTAACCAAACATGGAAAAGAATTGATTCTAGGTATAGGCTTCTGTAAAAGCTTCAACCTTGTCAACATCTCCAACACATGCATCCAACGTCAAATCCAGGTTGAAAACTCAGTTCACGTGACTGATGAATCCACAGTGGATTACGTACAGCTACAATCCAAGTGGTCACTGTATCTTCCCCTTGGAAAGAAAACCGGCGATCCCCTTGAGGACCTCAAACTCATCTTCCCCACAGCCTTTGATGGTAAAGTAGGCCTGTTCAAAGGTGAAGCAGTCCTCAAGCTCTCCCCAGATGCCAAGCCAGTCCAACTTGCTCCCAGAGCAGTTCCCCAGAGCCTTCTCCCTGAGCTCAAAAAGCAGTCAGATGAGATGGAGAAGGAAGGCATCATACGTGAATGTCCAGAAACCACAGACTGGGTGCATAATCTCGTGTTACCAGTCAAGAAATCTGGAGGATTAAGGATCTGCCTGGATCCAAGAAACCTCAATAAACACCTGATACGTAACGTCCATTACACCGCGTCTTTTGAAGATGCCCAACACAGCTTCAGGAATGGCAAGCTGTTCTCCACACTGGATGCAAAATGTGGGTATTGGACGAAGAAACTGAGCCCTGAAACCCAATTACTCACAGCATTTAACACTCCTTTTAAAAAGTACTGTTTTGTGAGGATGCCATTTGGACTCTCAGTCTTGTCTGAAATCTTCCAACAGGAAATGGATAATGCTCTGACAGGCATACCCGGAACCTTTCCGTGTGCCGATGATGTCAAAGTGCAAGGATCTGATGAACTCCGTCATGACATCAATCTTCTAGAGACTGTCTACAGAGCTACCAAGGCTGGTCTGAAGTTTAACCCAGCAAAGTGCAACATCAAGAAACCCCTGGTTAGCTACTTTGGTAGGGTGATTACACCATCTGGTGTGAAGCCATGCCCTGATAAAGTGAAAGCTGTCTTGCAGATGCAATCACCCCAAAACAAGCAGGAGCTACTAAGCTTGTTTGGATCCATCAATTTCCTGTCAACTCACATTCCTAATCTGTCCAAGAAAACACAGCTCATGAGAAGCCTCCTCAAAAGTGACACACACTATGTATGGACCAGTGACACGCAAAAGGAATTTGACGCTCTCAAATCTGCAGTGAAGAATCACATGGATAACGTCCACTTTGATCCATCAAAGAAAATCTACATCGAAACCGATGCATCCCAGAAGGGACTTGGTATTGTCATGCATCAAGATGGCAAACCAGTCAAGTTCCTAAGTCATTCCCTGACACCAGCAGAGAGCAACTACTCCAACATTGAGCGTGAGCTCTTAGCTGTCCTCGTTGCATGTGAGAAACTTCACAACTATATCTTTGGTCAGAAAGTGACTATTCATACTGATCACAAACCCTTGGAATCCATCTTCCAAAAGCCAATCAGTCTGGCTCCACCCAGACTACAGCGCATGCTACTCAGGATGACACAGTATGACCTAGATGTGAAGTACGTCAGCGCAAAGAAGGTTCTCTTGGCTGACACGCTGTTAAGGCTAACCACAATTGAGCCACATGGCACCCCAGTCCCAGGACTTGATGTACACATAGCTCAGGTTATGTCAATCAAGCCTTCTCGATTAGCCCAGCTCCAGGAAGAGACCAAGGCTGATCCCACCCTCAATGAACTCAAAGAGCTCATCATATCAGGATGGCCTGAAAGCATGAGTGACCTCCCAGAACACCTTCATGCATACTGGTGTTTTCGTGATGAAATGACCATCATGGATGGACTCATCATGAAGTCCAACCGTGTAATTGTGCCTGCGTCAATGAGAAGTGAGATAATAGAACGTCTTCATGAAGGTCATCAAGGCCTCACCACAACCCTTCGACGTGCTCGTACAACAGTGTACTGGCCTAAAATACAGCAGGACATAGCTGATGTCATCAACAAATGCAGTTGAATGCCAAATACACGCTAACAAGAAACCCCGTCCCCCTGAGAGACAACTGTTTGCCACCAGGCCC